ATCAATATCAGTATCAGAAAAAGTATTTTTCTCATGTAAATGTGATTTTAATGGATTTTAATGGATTTTAATCCTGGTTTCTAATTTTCCATAAGGACTGATGAGGACAGCTACATGTTTACCAACCTCTTGGGGCTTTCTGCTCTAATTTTTTTGGTCTGAACTTGTTACGTGCTGTTCGACAGCTATTTTCAACCATAAACAGCCACGCAAGCACGTGTGCCAGGGTCTCTGCAAATAAAAGCACGAGTAGAGTAAGAAGGTGAGTGGCACAAAAACAAACCTTGATGAAGTCCGTTAAATGAAAGCATAATTTCAGCAGAGCTGCACTTCCCCACCACATAACTGGACGTAAACTGAAACCAGGACTACCGTGGGTGGTCAGAAAGGCTTCAACACCAAGTGGCAAAACAAATATACGCGTATGTTCGGCTCTTTCTCTGCGTGACTGAATGTTTACAAACTCATTGTGAAGAACTGGCTTAAACCGATCTTCCATAAGAATAAACTCTCTGTTTCAAATATATTCCCTCTTGGAATGTCATTTTCCAATTGTCTGCAAGATTCTCCCTGATTCAAGACACATCAACCCAAACACAACGCTGCTGGTCTTTTTAATCTATGAAATCAAAGCTGAGTAAACACCGCTTTGGTATGTCTAATTCCTTGAGCCAAACTCCAGCGGTCAAGTTTCACACATACCAACACACATCTGGAGCACTCAGCGTGGAAGATCAAGCTTGATATTCTGCACATGTCAAGGCAGTGAATGGCTCGACCCTAACTCTACAAATACATTACTAAGAGGGGAGTGATCCCAGGCTTCTGTCTTTATGGAGATGTCAGGATTCAACTGAGGGAGCCAAGTGCTCTCATTCACTTTTCCAGAAGGATCTTAAAGTAAAAACGACATAATTGTCAGAAGAAAGACAACAACAGGGGAAAAATTATGTGTAGGGGCAGGGTGGATACTGAACTTTTACTCTTTGAATCCACTGAAAGACCTGCCAGATGTGTCAGAAACATTTTGGTAACAATAAACAGATTTGTGTAATGCCACGTCATTTCTTATCTGTGTTGTTTTCTGCACTGTTTGGATTAAGTTATATGATGTTATTTAGTGTTTATCATTTTAACTCACAATTTATCTCTTATTTTCAACGGGACTGAAATATCAGAGGAGACTACTGCATGCATTCGTAGGTTATAATTGAATACATTTAACGTTCCAACAGAGAAATTAACATCGGACACTCAGTCACATCTAAGAGTGAGCGGAGACAGCAACCATCCTTGATTTCTCTTAAACCTAACAGCAGGGAAACACAGAGACGTCAAGAAAAGAGCTTCACTTGTTTGTTTCTAATGTCTGGTGATCCACTGGCTTCTTCTTTTTTTTTTTTACATCAGCTATAGTTGCCATCCAGTTATTTCAGTAGGACTAATATTAGGCTGGTATTTGTACTAAAAAGTACCAGTAAGAACCAAAGTAGTTATAATAAAATTTGGTATATATTGTGATTTACTGATCTCTTAACTTTTCATCAAGTCAATTAGTCCTGGGTAGTATTATGGCATCTAGCATAACAGGATTTTTAGAAAACAATGTTATCTTTAAAACCTTAAAGAAAAGAAACAAACCTAGACACTGTTACTAATGGGCGAAGGTAGGAATGTTTGTGTAGTAAAACAACCCTGCACATTCCTGTTGCACATTTACTTTATTTTGTTGACAAGCATAAATACCCTTGTTTACATCGATCATCAATCATAATAGTTCCTAAACGCTTTGGCTTGATACCAGAGCCACTGCCGCCCCTCAGATTTATCTGCTGACCGCAGCTCTTTAAAAAATAATTTAAGAACTCAAAGATTTTGTGATACGTGGTTAGTAGAGATATCCAGTTCACTGAACTTGTTTCCTTTTATCCAATGCTCTGCATCGCCATGAAAAACCATTCTTTTATTCGGCACAGAATAACTGTTGGATTTAGGATGTGAAATAGTCAGGAGTGAGCTGAAAACACAGAGACAGCAGCCTTCCCTAATCTCCCCCCGACTTCAGCAGGAGTACAACTCCACGGGCGTCACAGCAAGATTTTCACTCGGTCGTGTACGGTTTCACCTGTCTGCCTTTCAGACCTAGATCTGAACAGGTAGAGGAGAATAGGCCTATAGAGTCCTCTTCTTTTCCTCTTCCCTCCCCTCCCTCTTCTCTTTTCTCTCCCTCTCTTTTCTTCCTGGCCGGCTAATCTCTTCTCAGGTTTAGGGTTCCCGGTTCGGGCTCTTTGAGGAGGAGGAAATATGGGGTTGGGTAAACATCAGGGCTCTCACTGCAGGGATTACAACACCCATATATCACTGAGACAACTCCCTTTTCAACAAATGACAAGTCACCAGGACCCTGTGCGAGAAAGGATCCAATGACACTTCCTATCAACACAGCAGACACCGATAGCATATACCGTCACCGTTTTCACAACATCGTGTTAGTTTATGAGGATCCGGTGTCTGCGCATTCTCAGCCAACGTCTTCAGATCGGTTTGAGGTTTTCACACATTGTTGCACCTGATGTTTGGCTTGTGGGCATCTTCAAAGAGGCAACAGCACAAACGGAAAAGAACTCTAGAGAAGCTCTTTGATCCTTTCAGAGAGAGTGCCGTTCATTGCCCAAAGACTCCATTTCACTCTCTCTTGTTGACAAAGTGAAGTACCATGCATGGCAACGTGCTGCTGGATGCATTGTGCTTCAGCGGTTGGGTGTTATAAAGTAAAACCACAATCGGGCCTCATTTAAGAAAAACACACTTTTTATCCAAAAAGACATCACCGAAGGTCAATGAGGTGGATCAGTTTTCCAACCTCACTGGGACGAGCACAATTCCATGTGCTCATGCATTTTAGCTGTCAAAAGGTTAAAATTCAATTAGCCAAATAGCTTTTCTTTTCCAAAGCGGTGGGTGCGTCCAATAATTCCTCAGTGCGATGCATAATGAGAAGTGAGGGACACTTAAATGCACTCCCCAGTTGTGCTTTTCACTTGTGTGCAGTTGACAACGAGCAGTCATGTCAGAGTAAAGGATGAAATCATTTAGGGAGGAACAAAAGGCACCCGAAATTTATGGACGATTAACAATGATGCGTGTAAAAAATTGGAAAAGAGACACTGTGGTGATGCTACACATGTTTTTACTATTGATGACAAATTGAGATTAAAGCTACAACATCTTAAATTTCTAAAGCGTTGTTACGTTTTTTGTAAAGTGTTTATATAAATATTTTCACTGGAATGTGGCTCTAATATTCACATTTCTCACAGAACAGTATTCTGGTCAGTAGTATACAGCACCACATGTTACTTTGTAGTAACATCCTGAAGGTTAAACTCCACTGAAGAGAAATTATAACTAAACACTAGGGGTGGGGGAAAAAATCGATACTGTGTAGTATCGTGATATTTTGTTTGCTAATAATGTATCGATACAGGGACAGCAGAAATCGATATTTTGTTACAAAAAA